CCCCAGGACTAGCAAAATGATGATGATAATAATAATGAGCAGCCTGGCACTGGTGGCTCATGCCTGAAATCCTAGCATCTCAGGAAGCTGAGCTCTGAGGATCGCAGTTCAAAGCCGGCAGGATAGTCTATGAAATTCTTATCTCCAATTAGCCACCAGAAAACCAGAAGTGGTGCTTTGGCTCAAAGTGGTAGAGTGCTAGCCTTGAACACAAAAGCTCAGGGATAGTGACCAGGCCCTTAGTTTAAGCCCAATGATGGACATAAAAAGATTACTAAGCAAAGCTGGGCACCAGTGGCTCATGGCTATAATCGTAGCTATTCAGGAGGCTGAGGGCTGAGGATTGAGGATCGTGGTTCAAAGATAGCCTGAGCAGGAAAGCTCATGAGACTCTTATCTACAATTAACCTGAAAAAGTCAGAAGTGGTTCAAGTGGCAGAGTTAGCCTTGAGCAAAAAAATGCCCAGGGACTTTTTTTATTCACCCTGCACAGTGAATAAAAAAACAAAAAAACAAAAAAAAATTAAAAAAAGAAAAGTGAGCACTGTAGCCATGAGCTGTACCCCAGACAGTCTCCAGTCCTCTCCAACATGGTCTTATACATCTCTTGTTAAAAGTTATTCTTAGGGGCTGGGAAGGTGGCTCAGTGGTAGAGCGCTTGCCTTGCATGCATGAGGCCCTGGGTTCGATTCCTCAGCACCACAAAGCAGAAAAAAGAAGGTGGCTCAGTGGTAGAGCGCTTGCCTTGCATGCATGAGGCCCTGGGTTCGATTCCTCAGCACCACAAAGCAGAAAAAACCGGAATCGGCACTGTGGCTCAAGTGGTAGAGCACTAGCCTTGATCTGAAGAGCTGAGGGACAGCGCCCAGACCCAGAGTTAAGATCCCATGACCAATGAAAAAAAAAAAGAAATTATTCTTAGATATGTTATGGTTCTTACTGCCCTTAGCCCCAGGGATTAGCTCCTTTCCTTAGTTTTCTATTGGAAAAATAAAAAGTTTACATTTTCTTCTTAATTCTTAAATCTAGCCTAATTCTTAAATCTAACCTGGGCTCACTAGGTTTAAACTCAGAGCCACCTATAGCTATAGCTGGGACTACAGGCACATGCTACTACATCCAGCTCAAATGAATTTGTGTGTGTGTGTGTGTGTGTGTGTGTGTGTGTGTGTGTGTGTGTGTGTACTAGGGCTGTGTTGTACTCAGGGCCTCATACTCTCAGTTTTCTTGTTCATGGCTGGCACTGTATGAGGCACACCTCTAGCCCAGCTTTCTGCTGGTTATTTTAGAGATGGAGTCTCACAGACTTGGCCCAGGCTATGCTCTCAAATCTCATTCCTCAAGGGCTGGGAAGGTGGCTCAGTGGTAGAGCACTTGCCTTGCATGCCTGAGGCCCTGGGTTCGATTCCTCAGCACCGCATAAGCAAAAAGAAAGAAGTCATCAAATCTCATTCCTCCAGATCTCAGCCTCCTGAGTAGCAAGGATTTCAGGCATGAACCTATTCTTCCTCCTTTTCCTCTACCTTCTTTTCCCTCTTTTCCTTTTCCTCCCTCCCTTCTCTCTGTCTCTCTCTGTCTCTCTCCTAAGATCTCAGAACTTGTAGCAGCCCACAATTACGTCAGCCTCAAACTTGATATCTTCCTACTCCAGCCTCCCAAGAGCTGGGATAACAGGTGTGTCTCACAATAAAGCAAAGTGAGGGCTGGGAATGTGGCTTAGTGATAGAGTGCTTGCCTAGCATACATGAAGCCCTGGGCAAAAAAAAAAAAAAAAAAAAAGCACTGAGAGCATAAGGCCTTGAGTTCAAACCCCAACATGTGTGTATGTGTGCATACGCACATGTGTATGCATGCACATGCATATGCACACACAGGTATGCACACAAATTATAAAATAAATTTGAGCTGGGTACATCTGTAATCCCAGCCATTTGAAAACTGAGGTAGGATCATTGATTAAGCCTAAGAATTTAAATCTGGGATACAAAACAAGACTCTATCTCAGAAATAAACCAAAGAAACAAATTTAGTTGGGCCACCAATGGCTCATGCCTATAAAATCCTAGCTACTCAAGAAGCTGAGATATGAGGATAGCAGTTTGAAGCCAGCCCCAGCAGAAAAGTGAGACTCTAATCTCATATTAACCAGCCAAAGCCAGAGTGGAGCTGTGGCTCAAATGGTAGCCTTGAAGAAAGTGCTAGCCTAGAATAAAAGTACTAGCTTTGAATAAAAAGTTCAAGGACAGGCCCTGAGTTCAAGCTCCACAACCGACCAAAAAAAAATTTTAAAAATTTAACCTGAATTTGTTAACATCTATGAAATAACAATATTATGATTTTTCTATGATGAATAAAAAGCAATACAAAACTATGTTTTAAAAACTGTTCATGGGGCTGGGAAAGTGGCTCAGTGGTAGAGTGCTTGCCTTGCATGCCTGAGGCCCTGGGTTCGATTCCTCAGCACCACATAAGCAAAAAGAAAAAAGCCGGAAGTGGCGCTGTGGCTCAAGTGGTAGAGCGCTAGCCTTGAGCTGAAGAGCTGAGGGACAGCGCCCAGGCCCACAGTTCAGGCCCACGACCGGACCCAAAAATAAATAAATAAATAGATAATAAAAAATAAAAACTCTTCATTCCACTTGAAAAAAAATCTTGTAAAATCACATATTTATAAAACTCTATTCTAGCATGTAACAAATTTTCCATCCTGCATGTTCGCTGTTGCTTCAAAGCCACTCTCAAACCTCTGGGTATTTTTTTAATTTTATTTATTTATTTATTTATTTATTTTTTGGTGCCAGTCCGGGGGCTTGAACTCAGAATCTAGGCACTATCCTTGAGCTATTTTTGGTAGTTAATTGGAGATAAGAGTCTCATAGATTTTCCTGCCTGGGCTGACTTTGAACTGAGATCCTCAGAAGTAGGTAGGATTATAGGTGTGGGCCACTGGGACCTGTTTGTATGTGTGTGTGAGAGATTCCTGGGGTTTGAACCCAGGGCCTGCACTATCCATTAGCTTTTTTTGCTCAAAACTGGTGCTGTACCACCTGAGACACACCTCTACAAATGCTTTTTTGCTAATTTGTTGGACCTAAGTTTCACACTTTCCTGCCTGGCTGCCTTTGAACCAGGATCCTCACATCTTAGCCTCCTAAGTAGTTAGGACTATAGGAGTGAGCTACTAGGGCCTAACTAAGGCTGATTTTTTTTTTTTTTTGATATCTCATTTACAGTCACTTAAACACACTTCCTGTCCCTCCTTCCTAACATCCTAGAGCTTTCTTTCTATTCTTCTGTACTAAATGTTACCTCTGTTTCTTTGTTGGCAGTACTGAAGTTTGAACTCAGGGCCTCACGTGTGCTGAGCTGATACAATGCTGCTGAGCCATACCTCCAGCCCTGTTTGGTTTTTTTGTTTTTGTTTTTGGTCAGTAGTGGGGCCTGAACTCTGGGCCTGGGCGCTGTCCCTCAGCTCTTCAGCTCAAGACTAGTACTCTACCACTTGAGCCACAGTGCCACTTCTGGCTTTTTCTGCTTATGTGGTGCTGAGGAACTGAATTCAGGGTGAGCACTCTACCACTGAGCCACCTCCCCAGCTCTTGTGTGTTTTTTTTTGTTGTTGTTGTTGTCGTTTTACTGGATAATTAGGGTCTCACTTCCTGCCTGAGCTACACACCTGAGTCTTGATATACCAATTTTAGGCATCCCAGAGTTCAGGTCACAAGCATCTGCCAACATACCCAGGTTTCTTCTGTAGAGATGGAAAACTTACAAACTTTATCTTCCCCCTACCTCTGTCTCCCACATAGCTTGTGATGACAGGGACATACCACTGTACCCAGGTATGGGTTTAGAAGAGATCTCAAGAGCTGTTTTGACTAAACTGATGTTGAACCTCAATCCTCCCATTTTCAATCTCCTGAGTAGCTAGGATTACAGGTATCTACTACTGGCTTTTCCTGCCTTCTCCATCAGTGCATGGCCAAGAGCACACAGAAGGGCCTCAATAAATGCACAAAGGTCCACTGCACAGTGCGTTCCAATGACTTACCTTCCTGAGACACAGCCACTCAACCCTCTCCTCAGACAACATTCAACTCCCACCCACCCAGGGTAACAAGGAAAAAGTAACAGGGGGCAGGAGGAGGAGGAAGGAGAGGAGGATAAAAGAGAGAAAGAAAAAAGGAGATAAAAGGAAAATTAGGAAAAAGAGAAGGAGAAAGAAAAGGAGGAGGAGGAATAGAGCACACCCGGGAAATTTAAGAAGCCAGCTGCAGGATCATGAGTCTTTTAATATATTAGTCTGAAAAGAAAGGAATTAAAAAAAAAAAAAGTTCCTGACAGCTCTTCCGTTTTGTTTTGTTTTTTAATTTAAATAAATACCCTGCCCACCCACTCCCACACACACCCACTAAAATTTCCCTCCTTCCCCATCGCTCCACCCATCCCTGGCTAGACCCTCACCCCAGAACTAAAGAAAACACGCCTGTTTCAGAGCAGGCCACGCTCACTACCAAATTCTGACAAAATTATAAATACTGTATAAGCAGCCAGTCCCCAAGAAAATCAATCCATCCCTCACTGCGGGTGGGCACGGATGACGGATGGGGAAAACTGAGGCATTGGAAGGGCGCTCTCCATTCTCCACTCCCTGCTCGGGTGTGGATCAGAAGGGCCCAGAATTGTCTAAAAAATAAATAAAATAAATAGCCCTCCCCACTCCCGGCTCTCCTCCCTCTCGGTCTACTCCTCGGTTCTAATCCCAGCCATCCACCTGACCCGCCCCCATCTTCCTCAGACCCTTCCCTCCTTCCCACCTTGATCTCCACCCTCTTTAAAAAAAAAAAAAAAGAGGGTCTGTCACGCTCAGACCCCCTCCTCACCACCACCAGGCAGACCCTCCTCCTCCTCGTCCTCCTCCAAATGGCTTGGGGGTACTCACAGTACCCCAAAGTACCGATGGGGCTTGGCAGGCTCCCCAGTTTCTAGGGCCCTAGGGTGGGTGGAAGGTCAGGGTGGTCCCTGGTCCTCCTGTCACTCAAGCATCAGGCCCCGCCCCTTCCGGTCAGGTGTCCTCCGGCGCCCCGCCCTCCTCAGATGGCGGTGTCCCAGAGGACGGTGTGCTGCCGGCGGCAGGGCGGGGTGCCGGACTTGCGGGGCTCGGGTCCCCGCCGCCAGCTAGGGAGGATGGGCATGCTCTCCTGCTTGCAGAGGCCGCGGTCGGGGCGGTGGCGGGCCTTGATCTCCTTGCACACGCAGCGCTTGCGTTCGATCACCTCCAGCAGCTTGCCGTCGCGCTCGCGGGCCGGCGGGGGTGGCAGGGGCAGCGGCAGCGGCAGCTCGGGGTGCATCTGGGCCAGCAAGAGGGGAAGAAAGGAAAAGATGGGGAGCGTGTGTCAAGGATTCTTCCTTCCCCTCACCGGGGCTGAGGGTGGAACACCAAGCTGGGTCTGTCTCGCCCAGAAGTAGAGCTGTGTGCAAGTGGTAGAGCACCAAACTTGAGCAAAAAAGCTCAGGGACAGCGAGCACCCAAGTTCAAGCTCCAGGACCAGCACCAAATAAAAAGAAAGAAAGAAAAAAGGCATTTTTGTAATTGGTCCTTCCAGGTCTTTCTAATTTTCTTTCTTGTGCCAGTCCTGGGGCTTAAACTCAAAGCCTGAGTGCTGTTCCTGAACTTTTCCCATCAAGATTAGCGGTCTACCACTTGAGCCATACTCCACTTCCCACTTTTTGATGGTTAATTGATTTTGTTTTGTTTTTTTGTTTGGTTGGTCTTGGGGCTTGAACTCTGGGCCTGGGCACTGTCCCTCAGCTCTTCAGCTCAAGGCACTTGAGCTACAGCGCCACTTCCGGTTTTCTGGTGGTTTATTGGAGATAGGAGTCTCACAGTCTCTCCTGCCCGGGCTGGCTTTGAACCGAGATCCTCAGATCTCAGCCTCCTGAGTAGCTAGGATTACAGGCGTGAGCCACCAGCGCCCGGCTGATGGTTAATTGAAAGAGTGAGTCTCATGGATTTACCTCCCAGGCTGGTTTGTAATTTCCATCCTCAGATCTCAGCCTCCTGAGTAACTAGGATTACAGGCATGAGCACCTGGCTGTCAGGCCCTTCTTAAAAATCTCCCAAAGGTGCATGGTAGGCTGACAGTGGCCCCAAGTAACCACACAGTGCCCACCTTGCTGCCCATGCTAAGCAGCCCTACCAGAATGCTGCCCGCCCCCACCTCAGCTCCCCATTAGTCTGCTGGCTAGGCCTCCACACACTCCAGCTGTGCCCTGCTCCCCCTTTCCTTTTTGTCTTTCTTTTTCTGATCCTTGAACTCAGGGCCTGGGCGCTGTCCTTGAGCCTCCTTGTGCTCCAGGCTAGTGCTCTACCACTTGAGCTATGGTACCACTTCTGCCTTTTTCCGAGTAGTTTATTGGAGGTAAGAGCTTCACAAGAACTTTTCTGCCTAGGCTGCCCTAAAACCATGATCCTCAGATCTCAGCGTCCTGAGTAGCTAGGATTACAGATACGAGCCACCAGCACCCAGCGTTTTTTTGTTTCTTTGAGACAAGATCTCTGCCTTGAACTCTATCTTAGTCTCATGGACATGGCACTGTGCCCAGCATTTTCTTGCCTTTCTTTCCTTTTCTACCTGTTCCTACCCAGATAAGAGATAAAACAAGCCTTACCTGGCTCAGGGCATCCCTGGGCTGGCTGCAGGGCCGGGGTGTGTGGAGCGCGGCCTGCCGGACTCCAGAGGTGGAGGCAGAGCGGCCCAGTCGGTAGCCTCCCGTGAAGTCTTAAGTAAAAGAACCAGGAATGAGGAGAGAGGTCTATAGGGGCCCTCTCCCCCAGTTCCCCGAGGTCATAGCCAGCCTGCCTGGACTCATCAGAGTAAAAAAAAAAAAAAAAAAAAGAACATGGGCTGGGAAGGTGGCTCAGTGGTAGAGCACTTGCCTTGCATGCCTGAGGCTCTCAGTTCGACTCAGCACCACATAAACAAAAAGAAAAAAAAGCCGGAAGTGGCGCTGTGGCTCAAGTGGTAGAGCGCTAGCCTTAAGCTGAAGAGCTGAGGGACAGCGCCCAGGCCCAGAGTTCAGGCCCCACGACCGGACCACCCCCCCCCCCCCCAAAAAAAAAGAACATAAGCCAAGTGCTGATGGCTCACACCTGTAATCCTAGCTACTCAGGAAGCTGAGATCTGAGAATCATGTTCAAAGCCAGCCAGGACAGGAAAGTCCTTGAGACTCCTATCTCCAATGAATCACCAGAAAACCAGAAGTAGAGTTGTGGCTCAAATTGATAAAATGCTTGCCTTGAGCCAAAGAGCTCAGGGACCCTGAGTTCAAGCCTCATGACTGGCTACCCCCCCAAAAAAAAAATAAATAAAAAGAACAGAAATGTGGTGTTAAGATTGAGGGGCTCTGCCAAGTGCCATGGCTCAGACAACTCTGAGACTCATTTCTGATTTATCAGCAAATAGCCAGAAGTGAAGGTATGGGCTCAAGTTGTAGCACTCCACCTTTGAGCAAAAAAGTTGAGCAATGCATGAGCCTGTAATCCTAGCTACTCAGGAAGCTGAAATCTGAAGGTCATGGTTCAAAGCCAGCCCAAGCAGTAAAGTCCATGAGACTCTTATCTCCAATTAACCCCCAGAAAACCAGAAGTGGCACTGTGGCTCAAGTGGCAGAGTGCTAGCCTTGAGCTGAAGAAATCAGGGACAACGCCCAGGCCCAGAGTTCAAGCCCCACGATGAACAAAAGAAAAAAAATTGAGCAAGAACACAAGGCTCTAAGTTCAAGCCCCAATACTGGCATGTACACATACACACGCACGCACATACACACACTCGCACATACACACACTCGCACACACACACACCGATTTAGGACTGCATTAGGGATGTAACTCTGGCAGAGCAGAAGTGAGGTCCTGGGTTCTATCCCCAGCACCTGGGTATGGGGTACAGGGAAGTGGGGAGATTCCCCAGCTGTCTCCCTCTCTTCAGGGTATGTGGGTAGGGTATCACCTCCATTTCGGTGGCAGGCCGGGAAGGTCTGGCAGGGTATGGGCAGCGCAGTACGGCTCCCTCCTCTGTGGTGGTGGATCCTGGCCAGCAGGCCCTCTGCTCCCTGGCTCCTCACAGGGATTCCTGAGGCCATAGGACTCCGGTCCTCACGCTCCACCTTGCCTGGACCTTCGACACTGCCATTCCAGGCCCGGGCACTGTCTTCTACCTCTGCTGGGATGACAAAGAGAGCTTAATGTCTGTATGTGGGAGGGGTCCTCTTGTTCAGCTACACACAATTCTGCCTGGATGGCAGCAGAGATGAGAGGGACCCTACCTCTCACTCCCCCATTAGAGATGCACACAGGAGGGACCCAGCTTTGCCACCTTCCCTTTTGTCCATTGGTACCAGCCTCTGGGGCTGAGAATCACATGTATTTGTGGCTTTTGAGCCCTTTCCTGTACTCTAAAGGGCCTCCTCTATCCTAGCTCTAGCTCTGAGCCCTACTATGTCCAATCAGGGCCAGGACCAACACCTAGAAAACAAGAGATGCTGTTCCGCAGTAGGGAGGGGAAAAAAAAATCCCGTATCCTGAGACTGGAAAGGGGAAAACAGGCTTGGGGAGGTGGTGGGGGGAATAGGGCTGCATGTGAACTAAGCTCATCTCTGAGTAGGCCTGGCAGAGCATTGCGTTGCCAGGCAACGTTAGGGGCCTCCCTCTCCTCTCCCTCCTGTCTGGATGGGTTGCCATGGTAATAGCTGGGAGGCAGCTGTGTTTAGCTCCTAGTGTGCGCACACTCACAAACACACACACACACCCCTGCAGACAGGGGAAGGGAGGGGCAGGGAGTAGAGCAGACGGGTCCTGGCTGAGTCTACCTGTTTCAGCACACATGTGGTATCTCTGGCACACTCACGGGGACCCCTACCCATCTCCATCCCTTTATTCTGTAACCCAGCCCCATCTTTCTGGTCTCCCAGGAAACTTCCCATTTCAGGACAATGGGCAGTGGCTTCCAAGAAACCCCTCTAACACGTCCCCACACCCCCACCTTTTCCAGAACCCCCAACCCCCCTCCTCACTCACTGTCCAGCTCCTTTGCCTTCCGCCCTCCATAGAGGACCTTCCTCTGCAGAGCCCAGCCTGCCCCAAATGTGGCGCCCATCTCCTCTTCTTCCTCTGGCGTCCCTGCGCTGGCGATGACGTGGGCACAGGAGATGCTGGCAAAGGCACCCCCCTCGGTCCCTTGTTCCTGCAGCTGGATCTTGACCATAGGGGCCGGGGCCCCCACCCCACAGCCCTTATTCAGCACCCCCCCAGCCTTGAGACTCTCATAGGCAGGGGGTCTCTTGAGCCCAGCTGCTGTGGCTGGGTAGGTCCAGAGAGGGGTCAGGGGTGTTGCGGTTGGGTCCGGGAGGCCGTGGGGTGAAGCCAGGCAACCACGGTGATGGAGGACCCCAGGGGCTACGCCCATCACCCCACTGTGGGGGCTGGATTTCCCTGGCACGGGGGGCCTGGAGCTGGTACACAGCATGCCATGGAGGACTGAGATCTCCTTCTCCGTCTTTGGCTCCCCGATACCCAGGGGTGGGCCGGCTGGCAGGACGGAGTGCGTGGTCACCTTGACTGCTGAGTACACCATGGTGTATGACACAGCTTTGTCCTTGGGGGGGCCGGGGAGCAAGGCGGCTGGGCCAGGCGGGGCTCCCGGTGCCCCCACCGCCTTAGGGCAGATCATGCTGTGGGAGTTGGGGAGTTCCCGCTCTCCCCGGGACTGGCCAGAGCCCTGGGGAGGCAGGGGCGTCGAATGACTCCGGGCTCGGCCTGAGGGTCCCAGCAGGAGGAGGTTGGCAGCTGGAGGAGGCGGTGGCAGGGGAGGTGTCTCCCGCTCTCGTGCAGGCACTTGGGGGGCTGGGGTGGAACCTGCTGGCTCCTTGGAGTGGCAGAGGACAGGCAGCCTAGAGACCCCATCGCCAGGGGTTCGGGTAGCGGACTTGGCTTGGGGGAAGGCCAGGAGGGGAGGCCGGTGCTGAAGGAGGTTAGGGAAGGGTGGGGGGATTTCACAAGGAGTGGTCTTGGTGGGTGTCCCTTCCCTCCGGCTGGGGAGGGCCGATGCTGGCCGGCGGTGGGCGTGGGGCTGGGGTGGAGGGGAGGTCGCCATCAATGGGGGGACCCCATTGGCCCGGCCTTCTGCTGCCTCTTCGGGGAGGGGGTACTTCATCTCCTCATAAATAGCCTCGCTGTCATCGGAGTCCGAGTCCGCACCAGCTGGAGGGGTTGGGCCCCCACCCCCGAGGGGGGTCCCTGTCAGACCCCCTCCACTGCGTCCTCCCCCACCCCTGAAGACGTCTCCCACCATCTCGATGTAAACGGGCTCTTCTTCCTGGGCACCAGCATCAGGGTCCCCGGCTACTCGGGACCCCCGGCTAAGGCGCTGCAGGGCCAGGTTCCCCCCTCGACTTGAGGGGGCTGAAGGGCAGGTCTCATCAGAGGAGACGGAGAGCTGGGTATGGGGGCTTCGCCTCGGCTTCTGCGGAGGGACCTTCCGGCTGGAATCTCGGCCCTCTGGGGTTGGCTTTTGTGAGCCTAGGCAGGCCAGGAAGCAGAAAAAAATAATAATAATCAGGGACTGGGACAGTGGTAGAGTGCTTGCCTAGCATGCATGAAGCCCTGAGTTTGATTCCTCAGCACCACATAAACAGAAAAAGCTGGAAGTGGCACTATGGCTCAAGTGGTAGAGTGCTAACCTTGAGCAAAAGAAGCTCAGGGAGGGACAGTATCCAGGCCCTGCATTCAAGCCCCAGGACTAGCAAAAAAATAAAATAATAATCAGAGCGGGCATTGGTGATTCACACCTGTGATCCTAGCTACTCATGAGGCTGAGATCTGAGGATCTCAATTCAAAGCCAGTGGAGCAAGAAAGTATATGAGACTCTTATCTCCAATAAACTACTCAGAAAAAGCTGGAAGTGGCACTGTGGCTCAAGTCCTGAGAAGCTCAGGGACAACACCCAGGCTGTGAGTTCAAGCCCCAGGACTGGCATAAATAAATTAAATAATAGTCATCGTCATCATCATCATCATAGCTTTTCATGGGGGAGTAGCTACCTCTTCACTTTCTCCCATGCCTCTCAACTGACAGCTCTAGTAAGTTCCTTTTCTGCCAGGTGGCTCTCAAATTTCTGACATGTGCCCTCTCCCCTGATTATTCTTGTCTCTTTCCTAAGAAGTCATTGGGGGAGCATCCCCTGTCCTTGAATGGTTCATCTGAGGTCTGTCCAAAAGGAACTCCCCCATTCCTTCGAGGAATGGAACCTTCCACTTCCCTAAATGAACTCTCCTGGATGCCTCCCCTTGGCCTGTTTGGATTTTCCCAGCTCCTCTGGGCCCCACCCCACCCCCAGGAAGCCAGTAAGGGGGTATCTCACCTGCCTTCTTGCTGGGGGGTGTCTCCACCCCTGATCCTGCCATGCTGAGCTTGGTGCTGGGGTGTCTCTGGGGCTTGGCTGGGGGTCTTCGGCCGCTGTTGTCTTCTGTGAGACCCCCCCCACTCCCCCCAGGCCCTCCCCCTGCACTGTCCATGCTGCCCACAGAGTGGCAGGAGAGGGAGCGTGGGGCCATGGCACTGCGGCAGGGGTGAGGGGTGTGCTCCTGGGAGGCGGGCATTGTCATGAACCCCATCCTGAGGGAGCGGCGCAGTGAGGAGATGTCCCTCACTCGGACCCCAGACCCTGGGCCTGCCCCAGGCCCTGCCGGGCCTGCAGGGGCCACCTCTTTACTGGAACTGTGGAGAGAAGACCCAAATGGAACAGGTCAGGATTCAGGTCTGAATGTTCCCCCTTTTTGTCCTCAAGAGAAGGAAGCCCTCTCGAAGCTGCTGGTAAACCCATACCCTTCCCGCTCCAAGAGGAAAGGGAGCTTAGAGTAAAAACCCCCTCAAAGGTCTGAAGCAGAAATGTATGGGATTCAGGCAGAATCCCCAGGCCACAAATGACCAGGCAAAAGCTGGGCACCGGTGGCTCACGCCTGTCATCCTGGCTACTTAGGAGACTGAGATCTGAGGATCACACTTCAAAGCCAGCCTAGGCAGACAAATCCCCGAGATTCTTGTCAATTAATCAGCAAAATGTGGAAGTGGAGGTGTGGCTTAAGTGGTAGAATACCAGCCTTGAGTGAAAAAGCCAAGGAGAATGTGAGGCCCTGAGTTCAAGCTCAATACTGGCAACAAAAAAAAAAAAATGACGTGTGTGTGTGTGTGTGTGTGTGTGTGTGTGTGTGTGTGTGTGTGTGTGTGTGTGTGTGTGTGTAGAGGGAACAGAAATGAAAGAAGGAACACACAGTACAGTGTCCCCAGGGCTGGCAGATCTCAGCCTGGGCATATCTAGTACACAGACTGGTATGGAGAGGGAGATAAAAACGCAGGCAAAAGCAGCCTTATAGATAGACACACATATACACCTGCCACTAGGGCTTCTGGGCTGCAGGCTCCTATCTAGCCTCTAGCCTCCCCTGTCATCCAACACTCCCCCAGGCCTTCTTTCCCAGTAGCCTCCTCTTCCAGAGGTGGGTGTGCAGTCTGCAGAGCAGCCTCCTCCAGCTGATCCTTTCACCTCCCTTTCTCCATCTCCCTCCATACTGTCCTCCCTGGCTCACCCCATTCCCTTCCACTGTCCCTTCAGCGAAGGGGGGAGGCTGAGCAGGGAAGAGAAGAAAGCTGTTATGGGTGGGCTCTCATTAAGGCCCTGTCTGCTAACCCTTCATTAGGGAGAGATCACTGCCGCGATCGCTCTGATTAATCTAATTAACAACAAGAATTAAACTCCACAGTTGTGAGCAGGGAAAACCGAGCCAGGGGGAGGCTCTGACTCAGGCTCTGAGCGGCTATGTAGTCTATGAGAAGAGTGCAATGACCCAAGAATGGGAGAGACCAGGCCTGGTTCCCTGGGAGGGCAAGGAGTGAGGGCCAGCAAGAATGTAGGAGTAGAGGACCAGAGGGTCCCCAACTCTGGCTTTTGTTTTGTTTTGTGGGTCATGGGGCTTGAACTCTGGGCCTAGGCGCTGTCCTTCAGCTCTTCAGACAAGGGGAGTGCTCTACCACTTGAGCCACAAGCGCCACTTCTGGTTTTCTGGTAGTTCATTGGAGATAAGAGTCTCACAGGGATGTTCCTGCCTGGGCTGGCTTTGAATCGCCATCCTCAGATCTCTACCTAAGTAGCTAGGATTACAAGCGTGAGCCACCAGCACCCGACTTTGGGGCAGGGGGGAGTCTTGGGACTTGAAAACTCAGGGCCTGGGTGTTGTTTGCCAAGGCTGGCACTCTACCACTTGAGCCACAGCTCCACTTCCAGATTTTTTTTTTTGGTAATTAATTGGAGATAAGAGTCTCAGACTTTCCTGTCCAGGTTAGTTTTGAACTGTGATCCTCAGATCTCAGCTTCTTGAGTAGTTAGGCTTGCAGGTGTGAGACTAGAGTCTGGCTCAATCCTGACTCTGCTTCTTGGTCATTCACCATCCCTCCCGAGCAAAGGAAACTAGGAAGGGGACCTCCTGGGTGCTCTCTGAGGCCCCTGAAATGAACCTGTCCCTTGTACCTGTCAGGATAGTGGGGCCTGCCTCTTACAAGGTCAGGTGACAGAGAAGCCAGCAGCAACACAGAAGGGAGAAGACCACTATAGGCAAGAAGCAAGTCAAGGAGTGATTTGGGTCCTTAGGGATGGGGAAGAGGTACTCTAGATCTGGAACCCCCCACAGGAGACCAGAAGCAGGGTCTGGACCCAGGTATGTGCAAGTCCAGACATTCTGAGACTGAGATCAAGAATCACAGTTGTAACAGGGCTATAAGTGCAGGCACAGGAGGGGAGAGGGCCAGGGGACAGTCTGGGGCCCAGCCTTACCTCCTTTTGGCCTCTTCTTCCTTGTGCTGTCTCCACTCCAGCTTGGTTTTTCGATAGAGGAGGTTCATGTCGTGGGGCAAGAGGTGGGGGCTGGGGGGCCCTGCTCAGTGCCACCAGGCCCGGGGGGCGGCCCTCCCTGGGTCCCGGATCCACTTGAAGAGGGGGATGGGTGAGGAGATAAAGGAAGATATGGGGATGGGTGGGGATCAGGAATGAATGAGAAGGGAAAAAAGGAGTAGAGATGACTTTGGGCCTTCAGAGAAGAAAACACAGACAGGCACAGAAAACCTAAGAGCCTCTAGGATACCTCACCGCCCCCCTCCCCCCAAGACAAGACAAGACAGACAGACAAACATAGTCATGTGTGTGTACCCAGAGTCACACACCCTGACAAAGGTGCTCAGCGCCATACATACATTCTGGAGATCAGATTGACACAGATTTTCATCCTGTGTAAATACATCCTGATTCACCACACACAGAGACAAGCCCCACAAACATATAGCAACCCAAAGCCACACAGACACACATTGAGATGTATAAAACCACCCAACCACAGACCCATATCTACAAACAGAGGACCAGACATATACCGGAGCATAGGTAAACATAAACCTAGGAACAGCAAACACACACAGAGACACAAACACCCACCGACACACCCACAGGCACACACAGACCTCCAGACACACAGAAAGCCGCTATGGAACTGGACACACCTACAGATGAGGAGTTGTTCCCAGGGCCTACTTGCGTACATTGCACCCCGCTAGGGAAGGGGGGAGGTGGTCAGTCTGCCACCCCTTCTTAGACCCTGAGGCTTGGTGGCGGTGGGGTCATGAGGACAGGGTGGGGACGTGAAGGATGGAGTGCCGAACTGAGCATCTAGATTCCCACCCATCCATCTATCCATTCCACTCCCCTGGCGTCTCCTCTTTTCCAGTCCTGAGCTTGGGCCTCGGCCCACCCCCTATTCTATCTCTCGCCACCACCCCACCACCCCCCAGCAAAGATCTCCACCTCCCTCCCTCGCTGATGGCTCAAATCACCTTCTTCTTCCTCCGGGATTTGGGAGAACCCGGGCTTCCCCCTTCCAGTCCCGCCTCCGAATCCCACCAGGAGGGAGGGAGGGAGGAGGGGAAGGGGGGTGTCTCCAGTGTTATGGCCCCAAAACAACCTTCTGAGGTGCGGCCTCCAAACCTGCTCTGGCGTCCAAAACACACTCTTCCTTTTCGCCCTCAGCCTCTCATCTTCCAGGCGCCCCTCTCCACGGCCAGGCTCCCCTCTCCCCTGTTTGTTCCAAACCTGGCCTGCCTCATCCCCCCCCCCTCCACCTCTCCATCCAAGGGCCCCAGGTTTCCGGGGCCCCCCTCCCCTTCCCCTTGTCCTGCTACCCCGGGTGTCTCCGCCCCTCTCCGGGCCGGTCCTGCCGGCCCCCGGTGCCCCATCGCCGCCGCCCCGCGCTGAGCCCCCCCACCCCCCACGTTCCCACATCACGGTACCTGGCCTGCCGGGCGCGGGCCCCCCCATGCCGGGCTCCGCCCGGAGCAGGAGGAGGGAGGAGGAGAGACAGAGAGACGGCGGGGAGCGGAGCCGGGCCCTGCCGCAGAGACGGCCCCGCCTCCGGGCCCGCCCCCAGACCCGCCCCCGGCCCCCAGCCCACCCTTCCACACCCTGGGAGGACGGCGCGAGAGCGGGGCGCCCCCGGGGCCCGCGGAGCCCGCGGGGGAGGCCGAGGGGAGGTGGCGGGGCGCCCGGGACCCGCGTGCGCTCTTCTCCCCGCGCCGCACCACGCCGCGCCGCGCCGCACCGCACCCCAGCGCCGCGCCCCGCGCCCCCTCCCCGGCCCGGCCCGGGTCTCCGAGGCCCCGCGTGGAGCCGAGCGGATTGGCCGCGCCAGCGCCCTCCGGCGGCAGCCCGCGGCCCCGCACCCGCCCCGCCGATCCGACCCGCACCCTGCGTCGGGCCGGGGCCCGGGCTGCGGCTGCGCCCCCCCCCCCCCCCCGCCTCCATCCGCGCGCAGTGAGGCCGCTCGGCCGGCAGGGGGCTGCTCCCCGGGCCCCGGCGCCCCGAGCGCTCGGTGGGAGTCGGGATAACCGCCCGGCCGGGGCCGCGCCTCCCAGGTGCAGGGCGGCTTCGGGGCTCGGCCTCCTCGACACCCAGACCGTGTTCCCGTGTCCGGGCTCAAAGTCTCCGGCACGGCTGTCCGTCCGCCCGCCCCGCGGCCCGAGTCACCCGCGACCTTCGCTCCGCGCGCGGGCCGGGCATCGCCGGGCCGGACCCCCCCAGGCCGCCCCTTTGACCTTGACTTCTACCCTTGTCCCCCTTGACCTTCCTCACCCGTGCCCCGAGAAGTCCTGAGCCCTAAGATCCCGTTGGCGTGCGGCTCGGTTCCAGAGTAAATGGAAGCCTTCGACTGTACCCTCAAGTGGCTGAAAGCGGGGTCCCCGAAGCCGGGCACGCCCGGATCCCCTGCACCTGCGGCCGCTGCGGAGTGGGGTCGGTGCAGGTGCTGCCAGCCTCTGAGCCATGCCGGGTCTCAATCCTGCCTCAGTAACGCGGGGCAGCAAGGGGCTGTGAGCACTCTAAGTCCCAGGGCCCACAGATGGAAGGCTACATACGACAAATGCCCCTAGGAGATGTAATGCACTACCTGTGTTACACTGCTATAATAATAGGACTGCTGTTGCCTAGGCCGGTGGCTTTCATATTTACACTTTAGTGTGACTTAATGTGCCCATATTCATTCAACAAACATTACTCCAGGCACCCACTACTGTCCCCCAGACTCTAGACATGGAGAAGTACGCATGTCAGGTGGCTGAGGCAGAGAAGGAGAGGATCTAAACATTCCTTTAGTGGAGGACTCCACGCCAAGCAGCAGGGTCTGGGAAATGAGGGGAGGGTTGGGAGAAGCCAAGTTGAGAATGTTTGGGCGAGAGGGAAATGGGTCTGCAAGGGGGACAGAGGAGTGGGTTTGGGAGAGGGAGGCAGCTCCCTGGCTAAAGGGTGTGGATGGGTTTTAACAGAAATAAAGAATAAACAGGGGCTGGGGGTTTAGCTCAGCTGAAGAGCACCTGCCTGGCGAAGGCAAGGCCCTGAGTTCGGTCCTCAGCTCTGGGAAGAAAAAAAAAAAAAAAAGAAGAATAAACATACAAAGAAGGCAAGGTTGCCTTGTTTTACTTTTTGCCTAACCTTAAGAGTGGTTCGGAGGCTGGGAAAGTGGCTCAGTGGTAGAATGCTTGCCTTGCATGCATGAGGCCCTGGGTTTGATTCCTCAGCACCACATAAGCAAAAAGAAAAAAGCCGCAAGTGGGGGCTGGGAAGGTGGCTCAGTGGTAGAGTGCTTGCCTTGCATGCATGAGGCCCTGGGTTCGATTCCTCAGCACCACATAAACAGAAAAAAAAAAAGCCGGAAGTGGTACTGTGGTTCAAGTGGTAGAGTGCTAGCCTTGAGCTGAAGAGCTGAGGGACAGTACCCAGGCCCAGAGTTCAGGCCCCACAACCAGACCCAAAAAAAAAAAAAAAAAGAATGGTTAGAAATTTTCTTGAGCTTAAGCAGGGACCGTAAGTGTGAGGAGAAAGCTGTAAACAAGACCAAATACCAGCAAATAACAGGATACCTTGGAGCCTCAGTTTCCCCAATTAGAGCTCCATCCTCATCTATTCCTCATGAGACAATGTGAGGAGTGTGTGTGTGTGTGTGTGTGTGTGCCAGTACTGGGGTTGAACTCAAGTCCTCAAACTCTCACTTAGCTTTTTCTGCTCAAGGCTGTCTGTCATTCTACCACTTGAGCCACAGCTCTACTGAACAGGTTTTTGCTGGTTAATTGTGAAGAGTCTCATACATTTTTCTGCCTATCTAGCTTCTTAATCACAATTCTCATACTCCTGAGGAGCCAGGATTAGAGGCATGACACACTGGCACCTAGCTGAGGATTTTTTAATATACTCCCGAGTTGTTCCATTTGACAGAAAATTAATTAGACTCAGTCTCCTTCTGAGCTTGGGAGTGAAGGCTGACACAGACTTTCAGAGATGATGAGCATCTGGGTTGCAGCTGTATAAGGCCCAAGAAATCATTTGGTACATGATGGTATGGACTCCTATGTTTCTCTTATTCTTGCCATATGCCTATATGGCCCATAATGATGTTATAAATATACAAATGGCCCCTGGCAGAAGAAACAAAACAAAACTTCCTCATTCCTGGTAGATTCTGCTCTGGCTAAGAGTCACCCTTGAAAATGTTGCAGAGGGCCTATGAATGTGGCTTAGTGGTAGAGTGCTTGCCTAGCATGCATGAAGTCCTGGGTTTGACTCCTCAGTACCACAGAAACAGAAAAAGCTCAAGTGGTAGAGTGCTAGCTTTGAGCCAAAGAAGCACAGGCCCTGAGTTCAAGCCCCAGAACTGGTGTGTGTGTGTGGGGGGGGGAAATGTTGTGTGTATGGGGGTTGCCAAAAAGAAGGGGAAATGGCTGAGTAATGGTAACTCACACCTGTAACCCTAGCTGTGAAGATACTGAGAGCTGAGAATCACCATTCAAAGCCATCCCAGGCAGGAAAGTCCCTGAGACTCTTATCTCTAATTAACCAGCAGAAAACTGGGAGTGAAGCTGGGCACTGGTGGCTCATACCTGTAATCCTAGCTACTTAGGCTGAGACCTAAGAATCATGGTTCAGGGGCTGGGAAGGTGGCTCAGTGGTAGAGTGCTTGCCTTACAAGCATGAGGCCCTGGGTTCGATTCCTCAGCACCACATAAACAAAAAGAAAAAAAGCCGGAAGTGGTGCTGTGGCTCAAGTGGTAGGCTAGCCTTGAGCTGAAGAGCTGAGGGACAGCACCCAAGCCCAGAGTTCAGGCCCCACAACCGGACACAAAAAAAAAAAAAAAAAAAAAAGAATCATGGTTCAAAGCCAGCCCAGCCAGGAAAGTCCGTGACATTCTTATCTCCAGTTAACCACCAGAAAACAGGAAGTGGCACTGTGGCTCAAGTGGCAATGTGCTAGCTTTGAGTAAAAAGATCTCAAGAATAGTACCTAGGTCCTGAGTTCAAGCCCCATAATCAACCAAAAAATAAAAATTAAACACACACACACACACACACACACACACACACACACCTGTGCTAGCGTGCGCGCGCGCACGCCAGGGTACCAGAGGCTCACACCTGTAATTTTAGTTAGGAAACTGAGATCTAAGGATTGAGATTCCAATGAAGCTAGCCAGAAGAAGACAAAACTGTGAGGCTGAGATTTTTTTTTTGCTGGTCCTGGGGCTTCAACTTGGGGCCTTGGCACTATCCCTGAGAGCCTCTCTGTGCTCAAGGCTGGCAGTCTATCACTTGAGCCACAACACCACTTCCAACCTTTTCTGTTTATGTGGTACTGAGGAATTGAACCCAGAAGTTCATGTATGCTAGGCAGGCACTCTAACACTGAGCCACATTCCCAGCCGAGACTGAGATTCTTTTTATTTTGTTGTTATTGGTTGTGGGGCCTGAACTCTGGGCCTGGGTGCTGTCCCTCAGCTCTTCAGCTCAAGGCTAGCCACAATGCCACTTCCATTTTTTTCTGGTTATGTGGTGCTGAGGAATTGAACTCAGGGCCTCATGCATACAAGGCAAGCACTCTACCACCGAGCCAACTTCCCAGCCCCAAGACTGAGATTTTTTTTTTTTTTGGTCATGGGGCCTGAACTCTGGGCCTGGGCGCTGTCCCTCAGCTCTTCAGCTCAAGGCAAGCACTCCACCACTTGAGCCACAGCACCACTTCCGGTTTTCTAGTGGTTTATTGGAGATAAAAGTCTCATAGACTTTCCTGCTCGGGCTGGCTTTGAACTGCGATCCTCAGATCTCAGCCTCCTGAGTAGCTAGAATTACAGGCATGAGCCACTGGTGCCAGCAAAACTGAGATTCTTATCTTCAATTTAGCAACAAAAAGCCAGAAGGAAAGGTGTGACTCAAGTAGTAGAGCACCAGTCTTGAGTGGAAAAG